TCAACCTATTACTAAATGGTTTGACTTTTGGTTGGATGAATTCAAAGTTGGCCAATTCGGATTTGACCTAAATCAGACTCAATAAACCAATTTGACATCTCTAACTAATATAAACTGATATTTAATTGATATTAATCATGTAGGATATATTTCCTGTTTTAATTGAGCTTATGAAAATAATTCACATATTTTGAATGTTAGGCATTTTTGACAAATGTATAAATTTTTTTAAGTATGAGAAATATTTCTATTAAATGAATAAGAAAAAAAAGGATTTACGTACATATTATTTAATTTATACTATTTGATATCTAACAGATAAAATTTTGATATTACATGTCTAATACTTATAGCATAAATGTGTGCATGTTATAAAAATATTAAATTTATAGGGCAGTATGGATGATAAAAATGAAATACACAAGTGTATATTATTTTGAATTTAAATTTTTTTCAGTGAAAAGAATATAATATTAAAATTTTAGTATTAGATATATAAATAATATGAAATAAAATGATATTATATAAATCCCCCAATAAAAAAAATGAAAAAAATAATATGCACTCGCCCACCATACGGGTCAATTGTTTTTTCATTGGTCTGTCTGCCGCTTTTTGAATAACGAGGGATTTCTAAGAAAAAACTGATTGTATTTTGATCAAAATTTCTATTAAAATTATTAAACTTATTATATATTATATATATATATATAAACAATTAATTTAATAGTACATACATTAAAAAATAAATTAGAAAAATTTTTGACTTATATAATTCTATTGATATAGCTTTTTATATTTTTGATGCTACTTTTTATTGCTTTGCTTTTATGATAACAATTATAAAGTTAGTTGATAATTATTTTGTTAATCATCACTATTATTTATAAATTTTTATAGTGAAAATTTAATCATTCTACTCAAATATATATTATATTTATTTTAAAATAAATTTAATAATTTTAAAATTTATCTCCTACCATTAATATACATAAAAATAGGCATTATAATTGGCCATTGGGGCGGTTTATCAGAAAACACCTATGATATTTAAATTATTGAAAGATTCCAAATGAAGCAGCTTCCAACTAAGTTCATTTCCTTCTCAACTTTATTCCGGCCGAAAGCCTCTATCATTAATTTCCTTTTTTTACATTTAATTATTTCATTTTTTTTCATTATAAACTATAAATGCATTAGAATATTCTGATTTAATTTCTTTGAATAAATGAAAAATTTGACCTGTAATTTATTAAACTTGTAACGGCCGTTTTCTTACCTTATTTTAATAAAATTATATTGACAAATCTACCTTTTCGATTTATTATGAATAACCGAAGCAACTTGTATAATGTCCTGTCTGCAAAATCTAAATATATATTATTCTCAAAGCTTTAAAGAAAGCAGCAAATATATAATTAAGGCTTCGTTTGGGATGGCTTTTTTATTGCTTTTTAAAACGGAGTTTTAGTACAAAAATAAAAAATTTTATACTAAAACTCTATTTTAGAAAGCAGTAAAAAAGCCGTCCCAAACGAGGCCTAAAAAACAAATCTGAAAATGTGACCTTTGAAATACTAAACGCGAAGGTTCCTTCCTTTATGGAGGGATGGGTAACCGTCCATTCTCTCCAATCTTAAAGCATCCCTCATCTCCAATTTCCAAAGATTGTCCTAATTTTTGTTTGGCAGGAATATGTATTATTTTTTTCTTTAAAAGATTCTAGGGCTGATTTTGGCTTGGTGTGAGACAAATTTTTAATCATTTTTTAAAACAATTTTAAAGTACAAAAAATTAATTTTTATTTTAAAAAGTTGTTTTAAGAAACAATATTAAAGTTGTCCCAAACGAAGCCTTAATTAGTGTATAAAAAAAAGAAAAAAAGATGTCAAGCAACTTAGGGTTTATTCGGGCAGGTTTTTTTTTTTTTTTTTTGGGACATTTAGGCCATTTAAGGCAAACTCACACACACAACGCAAACACATAGACTCGAACCCTGGACCTCTTAGTTGGAAGCCTAAGCTCTCAACCAATAGGCCAAAGAGGACAGGTTTCTTATTGCTTTGTTTTTTTCCAGATCACAGTTATAATTTCATTTCATTACTATTTTCTTGTTGTTTTTTAGAAAATTTTGCTATAGGAAGCA